TACAATACAATGTATTTATATTATAGTGTAGCAATGTTTAAATATAATAAGCTGGACCTGTTAACGGTAGGCATGTTATACTTATAATTTTTTTACATATTTTTTATAAGTATACTCATATTTTAATTAAATAGTTTATTCTAACAGATGTATTAATTTTGAAAGAGCAATTGATTAAGAAATGTAATGATATCACTCTTTTATTTTTTATGTTTTACTTTATTTTAAAAAAATAAAGAGAGAAAAAGTTTATTTGATATTTTTAAACATTAAATTAAGTAAGATTTCTATTATTAAACATATGGGAAATTCTTATTATTGTACCAATATGGGATTGATATTTATATTGCTGAGGCTAGTGGGAGAGACTGAATATCTGTGGAATTTTACTCTTTATTCAACTTCGATCAAATCCAAAATAATAATCAAATATCGTCTGTAAATTCTTTTATTAAATTAATAATCAAAATATCATCGGTAAATTCTTTTATTAAATTAATAATCAAAATATCATCGGTAAATTCTTTTATTAAATTAATAATCAAAATATCATCGGTATATTATAATTATTTTTCTTGGCTATTTATATATTTTTTTGCTAGCCATTAAAAATCCTTTTTCATAAAAATTCAAAATTATAAATTTGCATGGCGAATAAAAATTAATAATAATAATGCTAACTAAAATTATAATTTAAAATATAAATTTGCATGGCGAACAAAATTAATCGTAATAATAATAATTAAAATTATAATCTAATATTTGAAATATAAATTTGAATAGAGAACCAAATTAATAATAATAATGATGTTAACTAAACTTCTAATATTCAAAACCTAAAAGATTAAGTACAAACTATAACAATTATATCTTTGGTTTACCCATGAATTCTACAAGCGGATTTTCTTTTTTTATACTTAAATTTGAAAGTATGTTAATTTATATTAATTTATTTTATAAAGAATATATTTCTTCAAATGAAGATGATTTAACTCTGCCCTGGCCCCTTTATGTAACTTTTTTTTACACCAGTAAAGAAATTTAAGGGCACTAGGTATACACTTTGTAAGTGTATAATGTTTCCCTAATTCAATTATTTTAATCTTGAGAAAAATCTTGACAAATATATACAAAAATTAGACTTGGTTTCTTTAAATAACGCACTACCAGATCTTATAAAAATAAGAAAATTTTTGATAAGGATCTGGTGATGATGATAATAAGTTCAACTAAAAGTTTTATTTATTAAATATAATACAATCTCTTATCCTTTGCGCCAGTTGAACATGTGTTTAGCACATCGAATGATTTATTGTGCACTAAGCGCTCTTGTATATCTTATCAAATTTTGGAAATTGATTTTGAAAAATAAATAAAAAATTATTATTGCATAATTTTATTTTTATAATGTATGATAAAAAAATAAATAAAAAGAAAATGTAAATTCTTAAGTAAGAAAGAATGATGCGTTATTTTTTTAACAAGGTAACTAATAACGGCAGTAACTTTAACAGCGTCATTTCAAAATGATAAATTACATTGATAAAATTATAAATTTATTAAATTAATTCTTTTGGCAATTAAAAAAAATCTTTATAAAAAATATTTCCTTATAATTTAAATTTATCATCAACAAACAAATTAAAACATTTATAATTTTAGAGTTTTATATGTATTAAGTTTTTATATAGATCCCTTAAAAAACCCATTCAATCAATATAAGGTTAAAAAAATTTATTGGTTAAGGATGCAAAATTAAAAGTCATGCCCAGCTTAGAATATTAACACCACTTATGTTTGGGGCATGATCAAGTTGACCAAATAAGGAAAGTAGAATAGAAATATTGTTAAAGAAATTTGAGACTTCAGATTTATAAGATTTAATTGTATCTAAAATTAGAAAATGTACAGCACAATAGACACCATTTATGATAAATTAGATTAGGATGATGAAAATTGATATTTAGAGGAACGTTTTGAAAATCAATACGATAATTATACACATATGTGAAAAACATAAAACTTTAACAAATGTGGTTGGCCTGCAATTTAATTATTCTAGAAAGTGTCAATAAAACCAACAAACATACTATTATTAACATTTTAAATTACATTAACTCTATTATTTAATTCTGATTTTAATGGAAGATCTCTTCATATTCATAAATTCATTTAATAATATAGTGAATTTTTTTATCATTGCAAAAAGAATGTACCAAAATTTAGCTTTTGTATTTCATAATAAAATATCTAATCATTTAATCATTAATGTCAATGTTGATATATTACCACTTAAAAATAATAAACACAATTTATATCAAAAAATTCCGATAAAATCTTCTAATACTATTATTAATGTAATGGCCGCAATTTTAGACTGGTTTCAAAAGTTAAATATTGCAAATAGTCATCTCAAACAAAAATGTTTCACTTTCGTTCAATTTTTAGGTCACTATGCCACCGAATTATTTTTATAAAGATATGGGAATGGTAGAATGATAGAGATGTTCATTCTGAAGCGAATTATACAAAAATTTGTTAATAATCATACATCCAATAGTCAGGTGAAAAACGTTTTCGGACAGTTGAAAAAGAAAATTACTTATTATTATCTCTTCTATTTTAACCAGCAGATACTTCTAGACTTTGCCCTTCAAATCTAAACAAAATAGTTTTTATAGATAATAGCTATATTTAATAAAATTGTTAAATATCTAGTAAATTTTATTTGACAAAAGTTGTTTCAAATAAATAATGTTCCTAAAAAAATTAAATGTACAAAATTTTGGAGCTTCGCCACCGATATAAACGGCGAGGTAAATATTTATGCGCTAACGATTGCTGATAGTTTTAAAATACTACGCCTGTAGTCAGTTTCTTTATCGGAGCACACGTCCAATTTTATTTAAAAATATTTTTATAAAAGTAACTGTATCTTATCTTAATAAATTATAAAAGTATCGGTGTCTAGATGCATTTGTAAAGATTTATGTACTTACGAAATCTAGTGGCATATTCATGTTTGTATTTTTTATGCTTTTTAATTATTTATAAAAAAATTTGACTTAGTATCATTGTGCATATAGTTTTAATCTATAATATCTAGAATAATATACTTTTAAAATAAAATGTTCAATTATTTTTTTTTATATAAATCGAAAGATTGCATAATTGTTTATTTATCAATAATAGACTGAAACCTCTTCTAGTTTTAGCAAGAATTAAGAAATGTTAATTGAATGCCAAACACATGTTGATTTGATTTACATAAATGCCCCTATCGGACCCTGCATATCCAAGCCCAATACTTTGACAAATGATAAAATAAAAAATACTAATATTTAGTTTTAATAAACTAGTTGATAGGCGAGAGTTAAAGCTTTGAATTATATATTGTGCTTAATCTTCTTATAAATAAAACTTCAGACGAAATGATTATAATATAAACTTTTTACAATATAATCATAAAAACATATTTATGAGTGTAAAATTTTAATGAGTTGACGTATTTTAGGTAGCCCAATACTTTGACAAATGATAAAATAATAAATACTAATATTTAGTTTTAATAAACTAGATGATAGGCGAGAAGCTTTGAAGTATATATTGTGCATAATCTTCTTATAAATAAAACTCCAGACGAAATGATTATAATATAAACTTTTTACAATATAATCATAAAAACATATTTATGAGTATAAAATTTTAATGAGTTGACGTAATAAAAACATATTTATGAGTGTAAAATTTTAATGAGTTGACGTATTTTAGGTAGCCCAATACTTTGACAAATGATAAAATAATAAATACTAATATTTAGTTTTAATAAACTAGATGATAGGCGAGAGTTAAAGCTTTGAATTATATATGCTTAATCTTCTTATAAATAAAACTCCAGACGAAATGATTATAATATAAACTTTTAACAATATAGGTCATAAAAACATATTTATGAGTGTAAAATTTTAATGAGTTGACGTATTTTAGGTATTTGTTGTCCAAGAGTACTAAATTTAAAATATATTCAATTTTTTCTTCTTATAAATAAGATTGGGATTTTGTGCCCCATGTTCCTATGTCCGGTCCCATACCCCTCAATACTTGACGCTAATATTTACATAATAAGGGATTTTACAAAATTACGACTATTTCCCCGATCTCTGCACTTAGTGAACAATTTTAAAATAACCTCCATTTTTTAGGAAGATAATTAAAGTAAGTAATTATTAAAATAATAATAACCAATCATTTTTTAAGAATAATTATTATAATTTAAATTTTCAGGAAACATCAATTTAAATTAAACTATTTTATAAAGAGAAATGCAACTCGGCCAAAGATAGATAAAACTTGAGCCAAAGGCGTCATGGGAGGGGAAGGGGGAAGGCTAAACTCCCGATAAACCCTACCTTAAATAATTTTGGCTATGCTTATGCTTCAGTCCGACAAACCTAGACAAAATCATTATTACCTTAATATTTTGTTTGCATTTGAAACTTATATGTATTTTAACAACACTACAAGAATGATATTATAATTCAATAAAGTCGACATTTCATAAAAAGGATCCTCTCCCGAAAGGTTTACCTTACCCCAAAAAATTTTCTCATTAAAATTTAAAAAAATGGTAAATAATTAAGAAATGGAAGGTTTGATTTGTTTAACATTTTTTGGGTATCATGTCAAAACCAGAATTTTCGTTAAAATTAATACATTCTTTTAAATACATAACATAAATATTAAACACACCTTGCACATTCTCTATATTACTATGATAATGAATATCATTATAAATTAAATCATATATAAATAATGAGGAGGAGCGAAGAATATTATTTATACAAATATTTTTAATAACTACATATATTTTTCCAGTGATTATAATGTTATTTTTATAATAATTTTATAGTATAGTCAAAAGTTTCACATGACAAAAATATTATAAAATTTTTTTACATAAAAAAACTCAAGGACAATCTTTAGTAAATAATCAAAATTTATTTTTATCTCATAATAGATTTTTATGATTATTTCAAAAAAAATTCATTTATATCAAGGTTAGTTTTCATATAAGGAATGGTATATAATATACTTATTTGCTATTATTTTTTAATATAATATAATACACGTAACCTATACATTTAGATTAATTAATTTGTATCGAAAAATTTCTAAAGATAACATTAAAAATTGTAATAAATAAACAAAAATTACAATATTGAAATAAATTTATGCCCGTAGGAAAATACTTTTTTGCAAATTTTTTTATTGTAAATAAAGGTGAGAAATCTTTAATTATTTTGAATCTTCAAAAATTATTATTAAAATTAGTAATACGTTATCCAATTCCCATATTGGTATATAAATTTAAAATGATTCAAAAGTTCATGATAAAATTGAAATTATCTGAATTTTATAGAAGGGGTATTTTACAAATAGAATATATTTTTGATAACCAAATGAGTGCTATTTATCAACGTTAAATGATTTATTTAGCACGTCTTTTTAATTTTAATAATCAAACTTTTCAAAAATCCATTTAACAACTAGTGTTGTTAAATGGCTCGTTTTGAGCCGATTTTAAAAACGGCTATCTCAATATTTTAGCCAGAAAAATATTGCCTAAGTCTTGAGATTTCGATAATATATGTATAGACCTTTGTTCCTTCTATGAGCAAAATCTCCAGGCTTATATTTTTCTGGATGAAGTATTGAGTGAGCCGAACAACACTAATTCCATGTGCCGAATACCTCCTATCCTATAAGTTTTAGACTAATTTATAAGTTATTACGCTACTTGACTAAGAAAAGACATGTATTGACTGATTACGCAATTTGACTGTTACATAAACTTAACCCTGGCTATCCCACACTTATGTTTTGGTAAAATAAAGCATCTGCTTGATTCTTTTAGGGAATTACCTTTCTAATATTTTTTTTAGCCAAATAATTATATTTATTGGTAAATGTTAGAGACCAATTGATTTGCGATAAATAGGTATCCAACTTAAAGTAAGGTCTGGTCTGATCTAAAAATAAATTTAATTGAAGAGAAGAGAAAGTCAATTTTTAAGGAATGCGGAAGAATTTTTATAATAGCTAAAAGAAAATAAAGAATTATAGTGTTTTTTATCGAAACGAATTATAAAAACATAAGGAAAAATAATTAAAGATTTGTCAAAGCGAAAAAATTTCGTCCATATAAAATCCTGATAAAAATTTTCTACATAATGCTTCGATCCGAAAAAATATCCGCCTATATCTAGTTTGGTTGAATTTCTGGACAGTGCTCTAATAAATATTAATACAACTCTAATCTACACTTAATTTAATAACAAATGTGAAATTGCGTAAACTTTTTTTATAAAGAATATGTGATGCATTCCGATAAAGTATTGGCGGTAATACATTTGCGATATTGTATTCAAACTCATGGCAATGTATTTTCGTATTAACCAGTCGTAACCACATTAGACCATTGTTGTAATCCAAAAAGAAATGTACTTGCTTTTAATTTTAAAATGATTAATGGAGGCACGATAAATACACTTTTTTTCAATAATATTAAAAATAATTTGAGAATACTTCAACCTGTTTGGAAAGTTTAAAGGAAAACATTATTGGCAAAATAAAAATTAATTATCAGATTGACTTCATCTCAGAAGGAAAATTATAAAAGCAATGAACAATATGTAAAGCATGATTAGTGCCTACTAATTTATCCATCAGATATTCTAATCAATAAATAAAAACCAGTTATAAGCGAAATAAGAACTACGGCACGCCTTAAGCTGAGTCTTAAAATAGTATTTTAAATTACGATTCAAAAATCAATTACATCTAAATACATTAAAGTTTTTCCCTGATTAAAAATATTAGGAATCTTATGATTCTATAATCATTTGTTTCTTGTTCTTTTCACTTTATAGATATTTGACAATAGAAATGATATTTTCAGTGGCGTAGACAAGGGGGGGGGGAGTTGGGTTGAAACCCCCCTATCACCCCTCAAAAGAAAAATTTTTTTTAAATTATTTTTTATTTTATTTCAAAAACTGTTTTAATTTAGAAAAAAAATAAATAATATATATGATATTAAAATGAAATATATTTTTATGAACTAATAAAATATTAAATAACAATTAAATATATATTGTAAATATATTTTTATTGTTTAATTAGATATTTTAAATTTAATAATAAAATTTAAATTGTTAAACTAAATTTAGATAGTTTTTAAAATTTTTATTTAATTCCCACATGGATATAAGAAAATTTTTACTAATATTTAAATTGATTTAGAAAATTTATGTAATTTGATTTAGAAATAACAAAATCCTCAAATGACGATGGTAATGGTATTCACTTTTATAATATCTTTTATTTAAATATTGCAATTAGAAATACAACCAACATACTCAGGGAAAACAAATGAGTTAGCTAAAATAAAATCATCAAATGATAATGGTATAATTCTAAATTATCATTTATAAGAGTTTAAAAATGATAATGAAAAATTGTTGGCTGTGAAAAATATTTGGGCACCTGACAAATGCTATAAATTTCCATTGTCTTTGGATAAAAGAAATTTAACATTTCAAACATCGTGGCTTAACAAATATAAGTGGCTTGCTTATTCAGCTAATGAAAAGGGAGCTTTTTGTAAAGTGTGCGTCATTTTTTCACCAAGATATGCTGGACTCGGGTTACAAAAACTCAAAACATTGGTAAGTCAAGTATATATAAGATGGAAAGATGCTCTTAAAAATTTTAATTATCATCAACAAAATAAATTTTATCTCAATTCTTGTGAGATATCTGATGCTTTAAAAGCCATCTCTATGAATAAAAAGATATCAATATCTAATGTATTGAATAAAAAAAAAATTGATATTGTTATAACCAACAGAGCCAGAATAATTATAATAATTGATGCAATCATTTGGCTAGGGAGGCAGGGCTTAGCATTAAGATCTCATAGAGTATCAGCTGGCCCCTTAACACTTTCATCTTCTCATAATGAAGGGAATTTTAAGAAATTGCTGAAACTTTTGTGCAACAATACTGATAATTATATAAATCTTTTTGAAAGCTCGGTTAAAAATGCCACCTACCTTAGTCCATGCATTCAAAATGAAATTATATCCATATGCAATAAGTTTATATTGAAAGAAATTTCTACAAAAGTGATAGCATCACCATTTTTTAGTGTTCTGGCGGATGAGACATCGGATGTTGGTAACATAGAGCAATTATCCATAGCAATAAGGTTTATTGATATGGAATCAGGTCATTATAAAATGAAGGAACTCTTTGTTCAATTTATTGATTTACATGACACTAAATCAGAGACGATAGCCAAAGAAATTTTAGCATCCCTTCAAGATCTAGATTTAAATTTAAATCTAATGAGAGGCCAGGGATATGATGGAGCTCCCTCAATGAGTGGTCATGTTAAGGGAGTGCAGTCAAGAATTAGAGAGCTTTATAGCACCGCTTTATATGTTCACTGCAGCTCACATTGCCTAAATTTGATGATATCCGAGGCATGTGAAATTCGAGACATCCGGAACAGTTTACGTAAAATTTGCTTAATTTGCTTAATTTAATTGGAATTTATTAGATTTTATTATGTATTAAAGATATCTTTTTATAATTTAATATATTTTTCAATTAGAAACAATATCGTCGGTTTGTGACTTTTTCACACCACCCAAAAAGAGACAGTTATTTATCCGAACATTTGATGATATTGATTCAAATAATCCAAAAAAAAACTAAAACGATTTTGCCCAACTAGGTTTATCGAAAGACAACAATCAGTGAGACTCTTCATAGAATTATATGAAGTTATTTTTGCAGCACTCGAATCCTACGTATCCAGCAAAGAAAAGGATTCCTCAGATGCTGAATTTTACAGGCGATTACGAAGCCACAATTTTTAATATCAATTCAATGTGTATATTTTTTATTTAATTATACTTATGATTTTAGCAAAATACTTCAAAAAATTAATTTGGATTTAAGAGAGGTTATGAATAGGGCAAAGGATATTGTTGAAATATTAACAAATATCAGAGAAAATGTGGATGAAAAATTTCATGATATTTACAAGAAAGTATAGGAGATCGCTAATTTGTTTAGGATTGAAATTTTTAAACCTAGAGTAGTTTCAAGACAGTCAAATCGCTTAAATATTGATGCCTCTTCGATCGAGGATTTTTATAAAATAAATATTTTTATTCCCCTTATTGACACATTTTTATTTCAATTAAAAGAAAGATTTATTAGTCATAATTTTATTTTAAAAAGTTTTTATTTTCTTCTGCCGGTTGAGTCTGAATTGTTGATTACACATGAAACGCGAGAGGATATTAAGAAAATCTCAGAGTTTTATTCTGGTGATTTATCAGGATCGTATGATAAGTTACTTTGTGATGTCGAATTTTGGTATGAAAATCTCTACAGAATAGAGTATTCTTTGAGACCTAAAAATGCTTTGCAGGCTCTTTCCATGTGTAATTGCACTTTAGATTCCCTGCCAAATATCAAAACATTACTTTTTATTTTAGCTACTTTACCGATTAGTACCTGCGCCAATGAAAGGTCTTTTTCAACTTTGAAAAGGTTAAAAACCTATTTAAGAAATAGCACCGGTGAAAACCGTTTAAATGGATTAGCCCTTTTAAATATTTATAAGGAGATTATTCTAGATAAAAATTTGATTCTAGATGAATTAGCCAAATCTCAGAGAAAAGTAGACCTCTCTTTATAAATTCAAATCTATGATTATCATATTTTCTTAGTCATAAAATTTTTATATGCTAAACTTAATTATAATGAATTCTTAGTCATAATATTTATGTATTTTTAATAAAAGTATTGCTTTTGCAATAAGAAATATTTATAGATTATTTTGTATTAATTATAATTGTTAAATTATATTTTTTTAAATACCGTAAGAATTACTTATATTTTATTGAATTATATATTTTTCAAATATAGTTATTTACAATAAATTTTTAATATAATAATCTACATAAAAATTTCTACATTT